TGCCGCTCCTAAATTACCCTTCTTCGATAAAGCCACGCTCGCATTGCAGATGAGACAGATGGACTTTGAATTGGAATAGATACAAAAATAATCATCCTCCCACTCTGAGTGAAAATTATATATTTTGGGCTTTTTTGCTTCTGCCATAATTGCGGTCTTGTGTGTGTGCGGACTGTCACTCCTGTTGACACGGACAACGTCAGCGAAATAGTGCCCACTGCCCACCAGCCACGCCCCGACACATGGGGTCACGCCGGCCAATCACAAAGCTTTGATGCGCATTATTCTGGCACAGGAAGATTATGTTATCGGACATTAACGATAAAACAGAATATTGTTGTTCTATTTTTAGACACATCTCGCGATCAACTGGGAATCTCCCGGTCAATCGCGATCGACTGGTTGGGCACCCCTGCTGTAGATCTATCAGCTGTTTATTTCACATGAGTTCCAGTGTGGCAGCTTTTTAATCACTGCTCCCCCTGGTGGATCCATTGCAGCTGGTTTCATTATAATTTAATTTATTTATCAAGGGGGCGTATCAAGTCATGCGGGCGGTTTTCCTTTCAGCGAGGGTCGACCCCGTGCCGATCACGGCCCCACTACGGTCGGGTCGTCCGAAATAAGGTGCTACATCTGTACACCACTGATGGATTTCCAAGAACTGCTACATGACACCAGACCATGAACAGATTCAGAGTCAATACGTTTATAATGTACGGTTATGTAATATCTGTCACAGCACTGTGTATATATATAAAGATTGTAAGTAAACGCTCAAAAACATAAGCTCCTGTCTCCAGTCTCTTTCTTGAGATATCCAGAAATGATAAAATACACAACAAGATCCACTTGGATTCCTAATAGCAATGTCCTCTAATTTACATTTTAAGCTGCACAAGTCAGTACTTTTATTGAAACAGTGACTACATTTCTACATGTGAGAGTGCTCACTTTCACCCAGCTATCTGTTTCACAAAGACTGGCAACACTGTAGAATACCCCCTTTAAATCAGTTTGTATTTGGTCTGTATAGCAAGCATACTGTCAGGGTTGAGCGAAGCAGGCAGGACCCAAACGCAGTTTTACAGGAAAAATACCTTTATTTCAAGGCTAAGTCTTCCCTGTGAACACAGTCAAAAACAAAAGACTAATAGTCTTACAAAGACTAACAGAAAACGCAGAGCCTAAATGCACACAGGACTAATGAAACAAACAAGACACAGGTGAGGAGGGAGGAGAAAACACAGGGGCACAAGGTGAACACAATCAGGTAATCAGGTATGAGGAAACACACAGACAGGAAACCAAAGACAGATCTAGACAAGACAAAACACAACACAGACAGATTGTGACGCATACAATGTTTGGAGCATGGTAATGTTCTTTCACACTGCACTACTGTGTTACAGTTGCATCGTTTTGCTGTTTCATTTTTGCATATAAGAGTGGTGTTTTAGATGTGCAGTTCAATTGATGTCTGACATCAGAAAGCATATTGAATGTGTGATGACCAACATAGTAAACAGTATAATATAAAGGCTACTATAGTACAGTATTGTGTATACCAGGGGTCGGCAACCCCTGGCACATAACCAGTGGCACACTAGGAATAACTGTGCAACATTTTTTTTTTTTAAATCGGATCCTGAATGAGACTGCCACCAGGGCGCGTCTCCCCGTTACCTGCAGAAGGAAGCCATGCACGCAACGCAGCCCTGCTCTCTTTATCTCCAGGCAACTTTCTGCCGCTTTCCTCCGTGGTGCAGTGCTGATCGTTGTAGGAAAGCACTTCACAAATTGCAGTAGGCCTACCCATAAGGAGCTGTACAAATGCCGCCGTTTTTTGCGTGGTTGTGTCTTTAGTTTAAAGCCCAGTGGCGATCTGCTCATCTCTCATCAAAATAATATGCTTAAATGACTGGAGAGAGGCGAGCTCTTCTTGGGAGGCCGTTGCATTTATTGAGTTGTTCTTCTGTTTCACAAAATACATCACAGACTTGTTTTTCTGCTGCCTCGTTTCACTTCCAGAAACTCTCTCTCTCTCTCAAAGGGACAGCGATCTCATCTCACTTGCATGACCCTAATATCATAACATGTGTGTTCTGGAGAATCACAGAACGGACGATCGTCCTTATTATTATGCCGTTTAAACCAATTATTTAAATGTGTTTGTTGAATTCGGCATCATGCAAGTTGCGCTGACAGGTCCACACAGTGCTTCCCCGCAGCGAGGCTCCCCCCGCCCTCCTGTTGACAGTTCACGAGCGTCGAGTCAAACATGGACCAATAGGCATTGTATGTTATTTATATCTTAGTACGAAGTCTCTTTAAATGTGTTAAAGTCGGACAAAAAGGATAAGAAATGAGGTGATAACTGACTGATTTATTGACGCATGGTAAAAAGGATTTCCATTACTTTTTGAGATAAAATAAATTGTTTGGAATAAATACAAAAAAACTGAGGATGTGGAAGGGGTGCTTTTACTTTGACGGGAACAAGCTGTGGATGTTTCCTTTTCCTTGGTCGTTTGTGGTTGCAGTAAACAGCTTGGAGAGTCCGTAGATGAAAGGAGCAAACTAAAAAGGGTTTGTTGACAAAAAATGAGAATAACTACCGTGGTACAGTTCTGTTTCCAGCACTCATGCTTGAATCTGTTCCTCTTTCAGAGCTTGTATTTGGCTCTCCTCCTCTTTTCTGTCCGTTACATTTGTCTCCGTCTCCTCCTCCTCCTCTTCCTTCTCCACTGTCAGTGGTAACCACGACTCTTTGTGCAGCCTCTCGCTCGTCTCCACCTCCTGTACACTGGGTGCAGATGTCGCCTGCATGTCTGCTGGCAGGTCTTTGAACTGTTCCTCGTTCACATCATAGTCCTTCATCTTTGATTGCAGCACCCACCACCTGCCCACGAAGCCCACATCGAGCACGCGTTCATGGAGCTCCCTCCAGGGGATGGACAGATTGGAGCACTGGGCTTCGTACAGTGTGGCGTCGGGGTCGTAGTCGGCTTGGTAAGCCAGAGCGAGGATCCCCAGGCTGAGGACATGGAGCCGGCCCTCGTTACGGAGTTTCCCCAGACTCTGTACGTGTCCGTCCGAGGTCCCGTTGCGGATCCAGGGCGACAGCAGGCCCAGCTGGCCAGAGCAATCCAGAAGGGTGGCTTCGAAGGCCTGCTGGTCGGGTCGGGTGTAGAAACAGGCCCAGGTCCCACCCAGCAGAGAGGCGTATATGGAGGCTTTGATTGGTCGCTCCCACGATCCCACCACCACTTCCCGACACGCCTCCTTGTAGTCAGTGAAAAGGCCACGGCACCACACACCTACAGAGGGAAGGAACCAGCACTTTTAATATTTGTTGTCAGCACCAGGAAGTATTTTGTCATTTACATAATCATTTTTGTCATTTGGATGCTGTTATTTTATTATCTTTGTTTACACTGTACACACAACATCTATTGCATGTCCTCGAATTTGTCAAATGTATTGAACTGGTGATCACAGTTTGACAGCTATAGGCCTACAGCTTTCATGTTCGGAAGCGATTCACAATCAGCCCAGCTGTAGAGAAGACCCTCTCAGCTGGAACGGAGGTTGCGGGTATAGCAAGGTATAGCATGTATATATAAGTTTAATTTGGCATAGTTTGCACTCTACACCGCACTCACTAACCTGGTCGAAATATTTCCACACATTACTCCTTTTTGACGCCATGTCTGTTGTGTAGGACTCTTCTTAGAGTGTAAATAATTACCGGACTATGACTGGTAAAATATGTTGAATGCCGGCAAAGCTAAATCTCTCCTGTCAAAATATCTATGTACTTTGCCGCCACACACGGTTGCCAAGCAGCGCTTATGTTATTTAGGCTGGCCACTCATGTGTCGCGAGTGTTGACAGGGGGCGGGGGAGGACGCTCATGAACTGTTTGCGCCGGAACCTCGCAACGGCTGCGGAGCACATTTGCGCCACATTTGGGCCTAAGATGAGGTTTGAGTCTGCGTGATCTGCGTGTAGGGAGGGGCAGCAGCCATATCATTAGCTAGATCTGATGGATGTGGACATAAATGCGAGTGAAGTATAACCGGACGCGAGAGAGAGATCAGCACCTGCAGCTCTGCCCGCTGTGAGGGACCGGTGAGCGGAGCAAAACACACCTTTAGACGTCACCTAACACCAGAGTTCCCGTTAGAATATTTTTCGCCGGTCACATGTCCGTTAAAGTTTAATCTTCCGGACTAAATGAGAAAAGTG